TTGAAGTGACCAGTCTATCCTAGGTTACAGACATGGCCATGTTTATTCATTTTCCATTTAATTTCAGCCTTTGTCCAAAGGGCCTAGATTAATTCTACTGTAACACAATAACATCACTTTCTCTGCACAACTTGGGTGACATTTACCAAAGTAGAGTTTCAGGTGCGGTCTTGATATAGATTTACAACTTCAAGGGCTTCTAGATGGTGATTTACGGCCCAGAGATCATAAGGTAATTACATCATGATTTTCAATTTAAAAACTTAGGGTGGAGAAGTGTAGGTTGAGGTGAGATCTAAAAGGATTTAAGACACCACACGTTGTAATGCTGACACTTTAAAAGATGATTTAGTGTTTTAAAACAATTCTACCTGATTGACTAAGATAATTGACAGAAGGGAGTTACAAGAGGCCAATATGATTTTCAATTGGAAAGTCAATTGAGCATATAATGAGTAGACTACTCCCCGGGACTGACTTCACCTGCTTATTCAACCAAAAATGCCATGTGTGGGGTGAATGATTCTCTGTAAAGGTTTAGTTTGTTGGTATAAAGAGATGTCTGGTATTGAAAACGATGTTTCATCTTATAAGACAGTCATCTGAAAATTATAAATGGCCACCTTACACAGTTTTTGATATTTAAAAAAAAGTGTTCACTTTAAAAAGTGTTGATGCAATATTTTTAAAATGTGTAGTAAAGATGCTATTGTTGATAGTAACAGTGATCTGCTTTGAACACAAAATTTATTTCTTTTTAAATACATAGATAAATTGTAAATAAAGAACTTAAATGACCTCACTTGATAAATCAAACAAAGAATGAAAATTAGCAAAAAGTAACAGGTGCTAATGAAGAAAGGAAATGCCACATCTGCATCAGTAAATAGTCATTTACTTGAAAGGGGGAATACCTTAGGTAAGTGACTGAAATTAATTAAGCCCTGTGGGCCTATGTCTCCTTGTCTTATCTTTCTTGGCCTGAAGTGCTAAATGCTCCTTAAGTCCTTCACCTATTAACCGCTTGCCTGCGTGCTATAATCTTAATTAAAAACAGAATCATTGGTTATGTCAGGAACAGGTAAGTCGTTTTAAATGTCCACCTATCCTTAAATGTTACGTAAGACATAATGGGTGGCACCATTGATTGTAAGAGAGGTGTACTAACTTGACTTTTTTCATTCATGAAAAATGTATGAGGCAGAATTTCCTTATTTTGTGCATTTAAGAAAGAAGATGGAGGCAGGGGGGATTGGTAGAGGTGGAGAGTTCAAATGAAAATGCATTTTTGGCTGACTGGGGAAAGGCTTCCCCCCTGAATCAAAACTTGATCTAGGGCCTATGCCAGTTTGGTTAAAAAAGGTTCCCTCCTTTTGAAATTGATGGCTGCAGGCCAGAGATATCTTCAAAATGAGAAAATATACCAAAAAGAGTAATCATCTCTATGAATATTGATGGTTATTTGCTTTTTACGTGTTAACTGACTAGCTTATGTACTAGTAGCATATTTGTTGGTTTGTTTGTTCATTCATAATTCAAATGTCTGTGTTAGCTGCATGTTATTTGTTTGTTCACAGGCTAGTATGTTTATTTTTCATATATGAGGTGTTTATTTAATTATTTGCTTTTCTGTTTAAAAAAGTGTTTTCTGGCAAGTTGCCCATGGTCACTCCAAAAATTTTTAAGCAGGTAAATAGATTAATTAATTGTAACTTTAAGCTAGCCACTTTGCTGTTAATTTTCAACGACAACATTGCCAACAAACCCTCCTTTGTCATCAGTGACTTTAAAAAACGATGCAGTAAATCAAAGATGCTCTATTCCTGACTTATTCATCAGAACCTGCACTATTCTGTTTAAAGAACCAATTTTCCAACTTAACAGAAAAAGTTTTGTTCAAGGTGGCATGTCACTGTCAAGATGTCAGATGTAGATTGATGACCAACTATCTTTTCATTGTTATTTGATTCTGCACAACATGGGGACAAGAGGGGCTCATTTATCACTGTGTTGGAGCTATGGGGGAAGGGTTGAGGGGGGTGGCTGGGATGTTATATTGTTTCCAAATGGTATTTGTGGGTTGCAGATAATGTATACTTGCATTTGTGTTAAATTGTAAAATTGTTAATTTTTGCATTGTTTTTATTATTATTGTGAAAAGGTTTTTGGCAAATCCAACTAAAATGATGTATAGAATGACTATGCACATGGGGGGGGGGGGGGGGGGGAGAAATAGGGGGTTAAAAAATGGATGAAAGATGAGGTTTTTCCAAGTCACCTAGCTTCATGTAAATTGCTGATTGGTGAGAGTGAGGTAGGTGGAATGGAAGTGTTTCACAAATATTGGACCCACATGATGTACAGGTGCTATGGCTTCTTAGTGGCAGTGAGGGGGTGGAGTGGTGGAGTGGGAGGTAAGGGGGTGATTCCTCTGAAAAGATTGTAAGTATTCCTTATCAGTAAGAAAATCAGGATGAGATGAGTGTAGATAATGTGGTTTCTTTGAAGTCATTTGAGGTCCCTTTGTTTTTAGTTATGAACTCTAGGCCAGTGGCTGAATAATAGTTTTGACAGGTGGTCTGAAACATTATGACAGTCATGCAATAATAGTAAATTGGACTCCTGCAGCAAAGAAAAAAGGGACAAAGGAAACTGTTACCTGCTTAGAAAAAATATGATTAAGAATAGATGAAAGACAGAAGGTTGTAGTAAGGTAGGTGTGGACACCTTAGGTGAGCGCCAGGGTTAATAGACTTGACACTAAATGAAGCAGGAACAAAGGGTGCTCTCTGACAGGGCTGAACGTGCAGGCTTCCTGGTTTGACGTGGTGTTCAATAAGAGTTTAGTGTTCTGATATTTTTTGAAAGACTTCATTTGGCAGTAAACTGAGTGACTCAGGTTTAGAATTAATCTAAGGGTGTATTCCCAATAACACTATCATACAAGGTCAAAGTAACTCCATGGGGACTCTCACTGAATGCAGACAACAGAAGGAGAGAAGGAAGGAAAACAGAGAAGATGGATAGAGACAAGACCATGGAGAGGGGTGGGGGAAATGCAAATTGAAGCTCTTGTGAATCCATGATGGTGTTGAGATTTTTTTTTTCTTGACAGATATTTTTGCTGCTTGATAACAACACTTTGCTGTATATTTTATAGCACTGATTTTAGTGAAGTTAGCATGGCCTGCCATTTTGACAGGACATACCACGCCTGCAATCACCACTAGAAAAAAAAAAAAAAGATTTGCTGTTTAAAAAAAGGCTGAAATTCAATAAATGCCCACACAGAACCCAATAGTATAATTGAAGAAACTCTAGCTGCATCTTTAGAGCAGTAGAAAAGAACATATGCCCGCGTTCATCAGCAAAACGCGCCTTCCTCCCCGCCGTGCCTTTGTGGGAAGCCAGACCACAGGGAGATGATGTTACATCATTAAATGGGGAGCTGATAGCCCTGGACTGGAATATCAGAGCCTGAAAAAAAATATAAAAAAGCAGGTTTTTTATTATATGTTTCCCTTTTTGTAATTTTGTGTATTTTTAACTTTTTGATATGGTGTAAAATGACATGTATGCTTCTTTTTTTTGCACCATTTACACTGTGTCGGTTTTGGGCTCACTTGAAGCTAACAGGGACAGGCTGCCCCCCCCCCCCCCCTTTAATCAAGCTGGTTGTTTTTGTGATAATTCTTATTTATCTGTTTGATCTTGATTCACATTTCATAAACCTAGAAGGTTATGAAAGTATATACAGTATGCTTTTTTAAAAAAAGCTATTTTAAATTGAAAAGTGCAATACAACAAAAAGAAAGATAAGTTAGTTCAAGAGAGTTAAAGAAAAAATATATAGTCATTGGCCTAAGATTTGAACCCCAATCTTCTTCATATACTAGTATGCTGCAGTTAGCACACTACCTCTGCAACTCTCTACCTCCTTAATGTATTTCTTACGTAAATAGCAGTAGATACAATCAACAAAAAACCTTGATTAAAGATGTAATCTGTGCCATAGGATATGTCATCTTAGGTGCAGAGTGGAGCTCTTTTTTAGATTAAAGGTCTATTTACTGCCTGTGTGGCACAAAACTAATGTAGGGGTACAAAATGTCTAGAAAATTCAGCATAAAAAAGGATGGAAAGAAACCATTACTGGCCTAACAACATAATCTAACTACTTAGGATTGCTTGTTAAACTGTTTATTTTAAAAGTTTCTTGCAAAAGGGTGGGAGGAAGGAAGATTGTTAGATATATGAAAAATACAGATATTGAACAAAAAAAAAACATGAGGCCTGTTTTCCATAAATGTCCTCCATTGCTATCTTTAGTTTCTTGTATGATGGTGGCATACAATCAAGCATCGACACTGACCCTTATCCCCTCAATTCATACATAATCACAAACATTCATGTCTGTATGCATGCACAATCACGTGCATGCATTTATTTGCACACACACACACACGTATGCACGCACACATACACGCACACCATCATCCTCAATACTGGTGTACCTTGTACTCGCTGATCAGTCTGACTTGGAGAAAAAAATTTACTGAAAAGTATAACTGAGTATAACAAACAGCTAATGTTTTAGATAAGTAGTAGTTTTACCTTTAGTGACACATATAATGTTCCTGAATGAAAGATATCAAAATTTTCATTCTTAGATTTAGGACCAACGTTTGCTTTTAAGTTTCCTTTTTTTGTGTGTGTGTTTGTGAAACGTGGGCCAAGAAACAGACCCCAAATCCACCCATCCAAGTGACATCCCAACTGCCTTATCAGTGACAGCAAAATGACAACAGGTGGGGAATTATTTGTCTGTCATCCTTTCTCATTAGTTTTGCCTGCTTGGATTTCAACAGTAGCACATGACAGTCAGAGTGGTTTGAATGCCACAGGGAAATGAACCTTAACCGGACAGCCAGACTGGGGGAGTTTTTTTTTAGTGATACAGGTAGGCTGAGAATTGAGAATACTCTCTGTATTTGCCTTGGGACAGCATCTGTGATGGATGGCGAGGGAGGTCTGTAGTGTATGTAACTTGTTAGCACTTGTCTGGATTGGAAATCTTTCCTGAAGCATCATCCGAAACAAAGGCTAGAGAAGAAGAAAAGTAGCCTGTGATGGACTTGTTTAGTGAAATACTGAGAAGGGAACTGAGATATTTATTAACTGAAAGGTAAACTTGTATCTGATGGGTTGAGGATATTTTAATCATACCTCATGGGATGGTGGTTATTAATTATAGAAAATTGTTACATTTAATGTGAAAATGATACATGACATATTGCCTAGAAAGAAAAGAAATCCTTATGCCTCTGAAAAACGAGTTTTTCAGGTTTTTGATACTTGTTTCACGCTTTATTGAGAAAAGATGCTTCGTTGCATGCATATTTAGCAAGAAAAAGAAAACAAAGTTTTAGGTTTTGATATGGCCAACATATATGGACACACAGGTAAACCTAGTGACAGTCTCTGTCACTAAATGTCACCTCGCAAGTTATAAATGACCAATCACATACCCACGACAAAACTAAATTACTGTCTTCTTTAAACGATTTGAAGTTTGCGAGACAAGTATGATTAATAAGGTGTAAAAGCATCCCCAGGTGAGGGCGTATATGTATGGGGGCTGTGTTTATGTTATTATCTTTACTCCATGGTTACGTCCAAGTACAGCAGCTCCTCATCAGTTAATTTTTTTCTGAATAAAAACTGTTGACTTGTCAAAATTTTATTGGTTGAACATTAAATTTATGAGACTGTCTGAAGGGCTACTAACCAATGCAATTGCTGTATGTTTTCAGCTAGATTTTGAACCAAAAGTACGGAAAGTTTTATGTGTTTAAGTCCAAGATGGACATACATGATGTCCTGGTGACATGAGCATGAGTGACCAGAGACAGTCACCGTTACCTTGTGGTCAGTCTCCCTGTCGCCAGCAGATAGGAGTGGACAATTAGGGGGAGTGACCATCACTCTCTGGACAACTGGACATTTGATATGGTCACTGGCTGTGGTCTTGGTGATATTTATCTGAATACTTATCAAATTTATCTGCCCACCACACGATAGGCAAGGATTAAATTGGAGGAGAGGGGAACATGAATGTTTTTATAGCTTGATTTAAAAGTCAAGTGCCTTAGTTGGATTGTGATTAAGAATAAAAGTGCAGCATCAGATTTTTCTTCAAAGCTGCTGCTCTAAACATGAAAATAAAATAAAAGAAATAATTAAAAGCCATTTGTATAATATTTACAGTAGGTTGATATAGGTTGATGCTGGCCATGTTCATGTTACCACAAGGTGATTTCGAACTTTGATCAAAATAGAAACAGATTTTTACTTGAAAAAGAATTTCTTAAAATTTCTTTCTCTTTTAAAGTTTGTGAATAATGAGTCATCCTGCTAAAAGATCTTGCTCAGAGGTTGCCATTTAGCCAGGAGGTGGAGAATTTCACAAGTTGGCAATCAAATTTGTTACCTCCTGGTTTCGAAGGGAACAGTGTTCTAGATTGCGTGTGAGATCATATCTCCAGCACAGCTTCCCATGGCTTCAAAGAGGAGGAATTTTTTTATATCAACTCAACACATATACTGAATGATGTATGATAAAATACTCCTGTGTGCCAACTGCCATAATTAATTAACAATTAAGGTAACACAGACTATACTGAGTGGAAAGATTGGGGGGGGGGGGGGTAATGTACCTCATGACCTTTTTAGCTTCATGATATTACTGAAAATTAGCCTTGCTCTATCAGCATGCTGCTGTAAATGGCAGAGGTCTCAAACTCCACATTTACACATATTTATCACATCTTCACTATTAATTCCTATTTTTGAGGTATTTATTAAGAATAATTTTTATAACACGTTAAAGATCTTTGCTGTTTCAGAATTGGCACTCCTGTATAACAAAAAAAAAAAAGTTTCATAACTCTTGTCCACAAAATAGTCCTTTCTGTTTTGAAATAAGGAGGGAAATTGAAGAGTCACATGGCCCCAACATCTGTAACATGGCCTCATTAGTCACTCACCTGAGGTGAGCATCTTTCCCAGATACTTCAAAGATGTTCCCCCAGTGTGAACTGTCATGGCAGCCAAAAAGATCAAACAAGGGTTTCTTTAAATTGTTCTTGAATTTCCAGTTTTTTTAATCATAGCCTAACTTTGAGCATGGCAGTAGTGTTTCAAGGCGTGGATGGCTGGCCACAACCAGGTCTTTAAACAGAACAGGGAATACTGTTAAGACTTATGGCATGTTCACACTGAATTGATTGTACTAGGTAGTTCGAACCAACTTCACAGGACCTCTCACCAAATGCAATCAGATTAACTGTAAAGCACACCTCCTCTTGTTTTCAGTGTACTCGTGCAATCGCCAGCTTTTCTGTATTCTACTCAATGCCAGGAGGAGGCGTGTTAATCTTTAATCTGATTGCTTTCAGCAAGAGTCCATGCGGAGTTGGAATGATCTGCATGTACCTAGTACAATACTCTCATTGTGAATGCACTCTTACTTTGAAGGTGTTAGACAAGCCATGTGAAAAGTTCACATTTTCTTTGAAGAGGTGAGCAGTAAAGGAAATATAGGATACTCTTGATTCATTTATGATGAATTACATATTTTTGGTGCTTACTCACAGTTGGTCATATAAGATGGAAATTTGATTATTTAGGTTAAGTCAGGAGATTTAGCACAAGTATGGTTTTAAATTCCGGTTTTTAGTTATGGATAAATCAGTTGCATTTTGGAGGTATTATGGTATAGAAGAAAGGCCTATAAGTACAGTTGTCATTTGTAGTAGGGAACATACAAACAAGAAAAGCATTGTGTGGCATAACCAGTGCTCACAGTAAGGTAATGCAATTTATGATATATTTCATCAACCAATGAAAAAAATAGGAGAAATAAGGAAAATATATATATCTGTGTATATTTGTGCTAACAAAATAATAATGACTATTATAGTGTTTTCTGAAAGTGTATTGTTAGATTTTAAGAGCAACCACACAGGAATTAAGAATCTACGGGTACATGCTTTTTTGCAATACATCTATTGAAGACCTGTGACAAATATCAGTTTGTACATGTGGGTATGCTTGAGGAGACACACAGGGTCAGGATGGACAGACTTCTACCATGTTTGTGTCATGCCTTATTCTGGGTCTCCTCCTTTGATGGAACTCAGACCAGCAGGAGGGTCTTGCTTCCAGTGATCACAACATTGTAAGACTTGCGTCAAACAAGAAACTAGCTTGGATCTTATGTCCTAGAAAAAACAGTTTGTGGGAAAGCCTGGTTGGTTTACATTTTTTGGCAATGAAGGTTTAGTTGAGGACAGTGGAAGTGAGTTTTTTCCCTGGTGATAGTTCCTGAGTTGCTCCTGGAGTTGATTTGCTTTTGAATTCTTTTGTGCTTTGTCATAGGTTGTTTCCACTTTCAATAAGTGAAAAAAACTTTTATTCTTTTCTTAAAAATGCTGGAGTCATACAGAATAAATTGTCTTTTGTGTATGATAAAGGATTGGCTATTATAGCAAGTGTGATAAAAATAGCTTAGGTTGAAAAAGCCAAAGGCTTGATCATGATCTCCAACCATTTAGTCTTTATTTAAAGCAATGTGATTTAATTATTTCAAGAACCAATTTTCTTTACCAAAATATCAAATGACACATCAGATATATACAAAAACTTCAGCACATGGAAATGAAGATAAAATCAACACTAATTAAAAGCTGACTTTTGAGAACTTTTTATCAGGGCGATTTTGGATATTTGTCAGAACTTTATAAGCAGTGGATTATGGAATACAAGTATAAAAGTTTACTGTGCACTATGTATATAGTGGCCGGGAACACAAGATTTATAGCCAGACTGGAGACAGATAGATTAGGGAGGTGTGATATTATCGCTGAACAGTCATATTTTTGACAGGATATTTTATGGGCTGTTGAGCAGTCATTGTATATAATTTGTGTTCCTTTTTCCTTGCAACACCTCCAGACATCCAGGTAAGCACTTTGTCATCTTTTTTCAGATAAGGAATGGATTCTTTAATGAAAGCTACAACTGTCTCGTAGTACATATAGAAGCTTATTATCTCCATGCAGTTTTATCTTGATGAAGATATAAGATGTATGATGATAAAATATCACCAGGCTAATGACTTATTTTGAAGAGGCTATGGAGGAGAGTAGCAATCCAGCCTCAGCCATTTCAAATATATACTCATATGTTCTTAAGATCAATCCGAACATGGCTTTCTCTCAAACTTTCTGCACAATATATATTAAAATATATATTGTGCAGAAAGTTTGAGAGAAAGGATGTCTTCATAATCATCAATATGAGAATGAAAGGAAAGTGATACACATAACAGTACATATAGCATATTAGGCACTTTATAGCTTAATCCTATGGTTTTTGCCAATTTTGCAATACTGCCAGAGTAGAGATTGTAATAATAATCTGGATAAATCACTTCTTGCAGCCATTTTGGTTATGGCTGCAATTTTGGATATTAAAAAAATTGTGCAAGTATAAAACCTGTGGATGATACTGCAAATTCTCAGCAATCTTTTGAGGAAAATGATCAATGTTACTGGTTTTCAATATCAGTATTGATTTTTTAACAGTCACAGGAATTCTCAGACGTGACTGAAATTGTCATGCTTATGTAATCCCAGTTGGCCAAGGAAATCTCTGATACCTGTCTGGAATAACATCACACCCATGCTTAATCTAGCATTGATGCGTCTCATGTCTTACTGTAAAATGGTGTCTACATGACAGGAGCATATTAGTATGTTTACCTGTAATCAGGGGTGAACAGGTGAGAGTGAGACCAGTGTTTATTACGGCTTGCGGCAGTGCGTGCCAGTGTGTATGAAGAATCCAGCATAAATATGAACAGACGGCTTTTCGTGCTCACATGATAGAACTGGCTCAAACCCTTGTTGCAGACAGACAGATAGGGGTAATGGTGCATATGTTTTTGGTGCAGATACAGAGGTAAAGATAGAGATATATAAGCATGAGATATATATACTATAATATTACCACCTGTTTTATTGAATGTGTAGATGAAAAGGTATACACAGAGGTGAACATGCTGCATTTTGGCACTGATGCAAAGGCAATCGTAAGTTGGCAACCTAGCAAAGATATGCAATGCACAGTCCATATTGATGTCCGTGCCATCAAGACAGACTGGTTTTATATTCAGCTAGATGTCCTGCTCGCTTATCTGAAGTAGTGTTGCCAACTCCACATATTTACACGTATTTTAGGCATTTTCCAATGACAATTCCCATTGTTTTGGCGTGCTTATCTGTAGCAGATAAAAGTTAAGACATGAGATTTTGGTAATTTGAAAACTGCAGTGTTTGTCAATTATGGAGGTGCAAGTAAGGTTTTTAAAAACTTTTTTGGGGGATATTTGTTTTTGTTCTGATAATTTATCGACTGAGAGCAGTACAGGTGTTTGCATATGCCTATGTGTTCAAAACTTGTAGGTAAAACTATTCATGTTCATCTATGCTTGGGCAAACAGTACTGGTATATATGTAAATTTATGGTATCATGCTTCCCCTAAATTCATTTTAAAATCCCAAGTATTTTAACATGTATCCATTTTTCATTTCAGGTATTGAAGAGCAAAAATTTCAGCCACTTATTGAAAAGAAATACTGCATAGAGAACAGACTCTTAAAGAGCATTTGCTTCTAGAAACATTCATTTTAAACAAACCAGAGATTTGAAGAAAAATAAAGGAAGGGCCATTGTACTTGAACTGGATTCCTACAATTATATTGCAAGAAATTTGAGTCTTTTTGCTCAGAGGGATAACAGCAGCCTGTTACCTTGAATTTTAGACAAAGAAAAGGTGAGTATACAGAAGAAATATCTACTAAGTCTGTTTAACCTGGGTGAGGTGAGGTAAAAGAAAAAATGAGCATGTTGTGCTTATGTTCTTTGTTTTCCTCATTTTGATGAGCAGTCTGATCTGATCCTGATGAAAACCCTGTCTTATTTGGTCTTTTTGTCTGTTCTATTAATTCTTAACTAATATCTGTCTTATGCTTTACACATACTAGGTGTGTGTGTGTGTGTGTGTGTTTGTGTGTTTGTGTGTGTGTGTGTGTGTGTGAAAACAAGTCTGTAATAGCATCATGAAACAGGTATGTTTACATATATTATATCAGGAAACATTCCTTAACTGTGTGAAGTCAGAGAGCCTCATTTTGTATTATGTATAGTATATCTATTTTGAGTTACCATTTGTATAGGCTATATAGGCGCTTTCTTGTTTGCAAACATCTGAAGAACTTGTAGATTTCAAGCTGCTTCATCCATTTCATTATTCATTAAACTGTGTGTACATATCTCTTTGTTTGTGCAGACAGTAGCATTTCATATTTATAAATATCATGGTATGTAGACAGAAATGCAGAAAATGGATGATAATTTTCATTGACATTGTCCTGGTATATTATCTATATTACTATGAAGTATTATCCATAAAGTATTTATGACAGTGTGTTGCATAAAAAGAGCAAGCATTTTTTTTCACTTTAAATATTTTATAGGGTGTAGGTACTATAGAATATAGAGTTAAGAGGTGTAGAGGCTATGTCACATATTAATGTTGCTGCTTGCAGTTTTTTTAATGCAGCTGATTATATAGGGGAAAATAATATGCAGTCCATCTGTATCAGTTATATATCGAATTCATATCATTGATCTTATTATAAATCGTAATGGATGCTTATCAATATCTGAAATGAATTTAGTTTTAAAAATTGCCATACAACAGATATGGTCTTCACTGATTACTGGAGATGTGGTGGTAAAATATTTATCATACAATGGGAAAAACAGTAATAGTGAAATATTGAAAAAGAACAGAAATGGAGAAGATTTGCCCAACTTCTCACCAGGTCTTTTATTTGCTCATATAACTCAGAAGACACTTATGTAAATATGTTCTCATTAAACAAACTGAATATGGTAGCAGTAATGTAACTAGGTTATAAAACCATATCATACCCATTGCTGGAGGAGGACATGTTGTATCAGAGCATGCAGTGAACACTGTGTTGGAATGGCTGCCAAACTCCTGCTTTCATGAAGATCACATAGAAAACTGCTGCTGTTTTTACTTTTTACATTTATTCAGATTAAACACCAAACATAAAGGCAAACACACGAGTGATGTTAAATAATGCTTAAAAAAAAAAGAAAAAAACAAGAGAAAAAGGGCTTCTGCACTAGCTCAGATGCAGCTTTGCAAGGTTGTTCTTCTCCTTTCTTCTTCCTCCTCTCCTTATTTCTTCTTATTATTATTATTGTTATGCCAGGAATTAACTTGGGTACTTAAAATTTCCTAACCTGAAAATGCCATTCATTATCTAGTAAGTATGCAACTGCACACCACTTCTGCATTTATATCATCTCTTATTTATTACTACATTGTGAAAGCATGAAAAAATGATTGAAGACCCCTTTTGTTTTCACTGCTTACGTGCTAGCTTCATTTTGAAGGACAAATAGTGACTTTGTTATCTTTACGTAAAGAGAGAGCAATAATGGCATCATTTGTCTTGTCTCTGTGAATGTAAACAACATCTGTGAAGCCTAGACCTTTTTCACCTCAATTAATTACTTATACGCAAGTATTTTTATGCATATTTATTACAGCAAAAAGTAATGTGTCTACATGTGTACAATTACTCTCTTTATTCTTCAGAGGTAGTAGTTTCACTTGCCTTCTCTGTACTATCTTGAACTGTGCACGTTTTTTGTTCATGTTTATGATGGATAAAAGCAATAATTTTCTAACATTTTCTCATAGTTGCTAAACCTTTGATGATCCTTTTTTTGCTTTCAGCTAAGTAATCATAAAATCACATTTGTGAGTTTTTTGCTTTGAACAATCAAAATAATGTTTTTTTTATGCACAAATGTGCAATAAAATAAACTGATTTAATATTTCTTGGAAGTTGAATGCCCCTGCAGTATAAAACCATAGTCATTTAATATTTTAGAGCTGTGCTATATGAGTACAACTTATGCTAATATTTCTGCTATAAAAAGCATACACTTAATTTTAACTTTAGAGTGTTGGAGTTAATGCAGTGATTACCAGTCAGAGATGGGGAGAGAGAAGAGGGAAGTACATGGGTCACACGTGGTTGTAAAAATGCCAGATTTACTTTTGACATTTATAGGTAGAATGGTATTGCAGCAATGCCTTATATACACTACAATATTCACATATTGTCGGAACACTCAGTTAGATATCAAGCCCAATGCGGAGTGTGATCCTGACCACTGTAAGTACTGGTTACCCAGTTACTTGTTTTGCCTCATGGAATTCTATAGTTGAAAAACACTGCAATTACTCCACAGACTAAACTGTGATCATAAAACAGAGCAAAAAGTATTTTCTGACTTGTCTTAATCAAATTATAAAACAGTTCTGCTGCTAATAGCTATCCCTTTACCTTGGAAACACCTGCATGGTGCTGTAGTGGCCATTATATTTCTACCTGGAATATTAATCTTAGATGTCAGAACCTGGAATTTTGGCAGATTACTAGAAAGTTCTCATTACTCCGAGTCGCCTCGGAGAGTCTGGGCAATAAATATAGTGCTACTGGTGTTGGTAAAGATGGTTCTGAATGCCGAAATGTTTTGGTGAGTGGATTTTAGGGTGCATTTCCATAGACACCATCGGTCTATATGGATCCACCTAACTCTGCAGGGGACTCTTGCTGACTGCAGTCAGATTAATTGAAAGACATGCTTGCATTAAGTAGAATACATAAAAGCTGGCGATATGAGTATGTTGGAAGCAAGAGGAGGCATGTCATTCACTTAAGATAATTACACTTGGCAAAAGTCCCAGCAGAGTTGGATCAATCTACATAGATCGACAGCGTTTATGGGAATGTGGTCTGTGTTATTGACAGGAAACTGATTACTGTTATTACTTGATTGCTAAATTCAGGCATGTTTGCATATTTCCAAAGCAGCCCTGATAGCAATAGTCCTGATAAAGATTAATACTTTTCCCTGTTAACTTAAGATGTTCACTTGATTAACGATGATTGTCAAATGTAGCATAACTAATGCTGGGAATAAACAAATGTGGAACAGTTGTTAGGGAAAAAGTTTATACATGGCATACATGAAGTTTAGAATGATCAGCAGCCATTTTGAGCTGTGAAGGAGCTAGCTGTCAGATATCTTTATATTAACCTTTTTAATCTTTTGCGGAAATACGAAGTGCGCATGACAGGAACCGCGCGCCACAGGGGTCATGGTGGTCCTCTGCTGTTTCCAGCATGGCAATGCTAGGTGTAGATGATGTACAAGGTGCGCATATAAAAAAGGTCGTATGAAGCGTGCATTGCTTTCTGTCAAACTAAAAAGGTGGCTGAAGCACAGAAATGCGTAAACTGTAGGCAAGAAACAGCTATTTGGACGGAGAATCAAGCAATTAAATATTTTCTTTCTCAGTTTAAATACGATGCGCTTTACAACTTGACTTCACCTAAGCATCCGAGCCTTGGCTGCTATTTCAATAGTGATGACGAACTAAAGCTACGGAGTTCTTTTAAATGCTTCCGATAATAAAGATATGCGAAAGAGACTCGTTATTTTTATATATATAAAATCAAAATAGCCAGTAGACTCGTACACAGCTTTCAAGAGTGTGGACAGGTGCGCAGGCCTACGTCAGGGGCGGATCCAGAGATATTTTCTGACAGTCTTCCATATTATATTTGTTGATCCATCCTCCACTTTTTGACCGTCTTCCGACAGAAAAAATTAGATACCCGTCAATGTAAACTTGAAAATCTGACCGTCTTCCGGAAGACCCAGAAGACGGCCTAAATCCGCCCCTGTACGTCTTCACAATTTTGTACATGTTGTATGCAAGCTGTGGCGATATCACCTCATGTACCCGCAGTGTCAATTCATTACGATTTTTATGTTTGTTTGAAGGATATCTTAAGAGATTTTTAAAGTGATAAAATGAAAAGATTTCCTGCATTGTTTGACTCGTAACTACTGTGTATACAGGTAAAACTGACACGCAGATCGTTCGTCGGTGAACTGATTAAATCGTTTGGTACCTGATAAGGCATCAGGTGTTACTTGTTCAATTGTTCGGTAAGGCGAGCGGCCACAACTACGACCTTTCCTCTGTAATTAAAACCTTTTAAGTGTTAAATAGGTGAGACAGGAATTCTCGACTCTTTCCCAGACGATAATTAAAGTTTACCGTGTCTTACTCTAG